CCCCTCTCTTGCCTCATCGACGGCGATGACGACAAAGTTCTCGGAGACATAGATCAAATGAGGAATGTGAGAAGAGGCCCTCTCAAAAGTTTCACGGGCGCAATTAAGAAACAAGCTGGAAAACGGATGGTTCAGTCGACCCCAAAATCAATACGCGCGAACTTTTGCAAAGGTAACCCCAGTCCGCCTGCTGAGGCGCCAAATCCGCGAGGTCCCAGTCTCTATCAAGAAGTTGAATGCAACAGGAACAGGGTCCAGGCCGGAATAGCCGCAGCACGTCATGACAGGTCAACACCTCTCTCAGTCTCATTCACTCGCAAAGTCGGGTGATTTCACTCACAAGTCACAAAACTCACTTTCATTCACTCATCGCTTGGTTGGCAAGGCAAGGTAGCAGTTGGGGCCACAGGGCAGCATCGCCAAGAAACATCGCCAAGATGGCAGCAAACAGCCGAAACCCGCTCAGCTGGATCCCGCGTTGACACAGAGAATGTGCAAAGAGACAATGGAGTTGCGGCGGCAAGCGGCGTGATCCCCCCTTCAACCCCCCCCCCTGTCCTGTCTCTTCCCCTTCGCTTCAGCCTTCATGTCCCTCTTTCTCCTCCACCTCCCCCCTTGGGATTCTTCCCCCCAGAAACCTAGAAAACTCTCTTGTCTTCCTTCCCGTCTTGGCCTCGATCTCGTACCTGCTGCGGCCCCAGACTGGGCATTTTCTGGGCAGGCATGGAATGAAGCCATGCCCTCAGGGGATTGAGCAATCGAAGGGTTCGCAAGGTCGCAATCGCCAACCTCTGGGCGCGCATGCGGGATTGCGGGTGGGGACTTGGCGGTAAAGCTTGTTTCCATGTGCCGAGGCGCATCAAGAGCCAAGAAGACCAATGGAAGAGACGGGATGGTCGTAGGTTCGCCGTCAGAACACCACCACCACGCCGCCGCAAAGCATGGGTTCGCCTGCTTGCTGTCTCGACGTACCAGCCAAACCCTCGACCTTTCCCGGAGCCCTAGCGGACTTGGACCGTAATGTGGCCTGGCTGACTCCCGGAGCCATGTCCCGGAAAGGTAGGTGCTTTCAACGTCGACTCGAGAACGAGGGACCACTCTACCACACGGCACCACTCAGGACCGGCACCGGGGCTATCGCGAGGGTGGATGGATCATGGAGTGATGGACCAGAATCAGATCGCTTTAGACGAGAATACCTCGTTTCGCCTCTGGATTGGTCGGTCCCGCCCTCCGCCGGTGCTCCTCTCCCCGCCGCGGACCCCCCTCCATCAGCTCGGCTCCATTCATATCATCTACTTTTGGTGCCTTGCTGCTTGTTTCCTTGGCCTTATTCCCCTTTTCACTCATCTCAACTTCCGGCCTTGGATCCAAGAGCGGAGGACGGCGGTGCGTCGACATTCGACAAATAAGCCTCGACTCGTTCGACCCTTTTGCCCGACCTGCTCTTTTGCATCTAGTCTACAGCTGCTGGGAACTTTGTGCCAGTGACAAGCTTTGGTCAAAAGTTCCCATAACCCTTCCCACCCCCTGGCCGGGAATAGGCTGGTCCTTGGGATGGGTTCCATCTTCCACCATTCCATGAGCTCCATGGCGGAGAGACAGATGGAGCTACGACCTTAGTTGAAGAGCTTTAGACACTAGAGTCTATCAGTCCCCTGTTCGAGACTAGCCTGCCCGTTGATGGCTGCCGCAAGTAGTCAACTGCTTGTTGTTCCTCCTTGGTGATCTACACACTACCGACTACCGTCCCTTCTCATCAAATCTAGCCCCTCTGTTCTCTCGAATCATGACGCGCAGTATCATTGTCCTTGTTGGCGCGATATGGAGTCGCGACAGGCAGCCTTGCTATTGCACGATGCTCCCTCTTGGAAGGTGGTATTCCCCCACGGCTAGCTTGTGCCGCACACCATGATGTGCCCTCCTTCACGAGTTCCCCCCTGCCTGTTGTTGTTGGCCTTGACATATCCAGAGACCGTGATGTTGGCAAGGACTGCGAGTAATGTCGCCATGATCCATCCTATCGCCCCGAGTTGCCGTCCCCGGTCACAGAGTCCAGACACCATCTTCATAGACTGGACGATGACGATATAAACCATCCCAACTCCCCGTTGATCATCCCATCTCTCCTCCTCATCCTCATCGGTCATCTCCCAGTCCTCCTCCTCGGTCCTCATATCCTCTTCTCTGCTCCTTTCCCCGGCTTCACTAGCTTTCAGTCATCTCACAATGACTGGCTCATCCTTCGTCTCGGCCCTCACGGCCGGCCTTGCCCTGGCCTCCTCCGTCGCCGCCCTCCCCGCTGGTGCCCAGCAGGAGAGAGGCTTCACCGTCGAGCAGATCAAGAACCCCCGCTACGTCCGCTCCGGTCCCCTCGCCCTCGCCAAGGCCTACCGCAAGTACAAGGCCCCTCTCCCCGCCGACCTCGCCGCCGTTGTCGCCAACATCAGCTCTGCCGGCCTCGTCGAGCGTGCCACTGGCAGTGTCGCCGCCAACCCCCAGGAGTACGATGTTGAGTACCTGAGCCCCGTCCAGATCGGCACCCCGGCCCAGACCCTCAACCTCGACTTCGACACCGGCTCCTCCGACCTGTGGGTCTTCTCGACCTCCACCCCGGCCAGCCAGCGCAACGGCCAGACCGTCTACGACCCCTCCAAGTCTTCCACCGCCTCCCGCCTCTCCGGCGCCACCTGGTCCATCTCCTACGGTGATGGCTCCAGCTCCAGCGGTATCGTCTACAAGGACACCGTCACCGTCGGCGGTCTGACTGTTACCGGCCAGGCCGTCGAGGCTGCCTCCACCGTCTCGGACTCCTTCACCTCCGAGAGCGACCTGGACGGTCTGCTTGGTCTCGGCTTCAGCAACATCAACACCGTCTCGCCCACCCAGCAGACCACCTTCTTCGACACTGCCAAGTCTAAGTTGGACTCTTTCCTCTTCACTGCTGACCTGAAGCACGGCACGGGTAAGGACTCGCTCACGTTCTCACTAGATATGGTATCAAGAGATGGGACAGCTGATACTGACGCATTGAACTTATAGCCGGCAAGTACAACTTCGGTTACATTGATAGCACCGCCTACACTGGTTCCATCACCTACACCTCCGTCAACTCCGCCAACGGATGGTGGCAGTTCACCTCCTCCGGCTACCAGGTCGGCTCCGCCAGCTTCGTCTCCAGCTCCGTCACCGGTATTGCTGACACCGGCACCACCCTTCTCCTCCTTCCCCAGGCCATCGTCACTGCCTACTACGCCAAGATCACCGGTGCCAAGTACGACTCTTCCCAGGGTGGTTACACTTTCCCCTGCTCCGCGACCGTCCCCTCCTTCACCTTCGGCGTCGGTACCGCTCGCATCACCATCCCCGCCAGCTACATGAACTACGCTCCCATCAGCACCTCCACCTGCTTCGGTGGCCTTCAGAGCAACGCCGGCATTGGCATCTCCATCTACGGTGACATTGCCCTCAAGGCTGCCTTCGTTGTCTTCAACGGCAGCACCAAGCAGCTTGGCTGGGCCGCCAAGACCCTCTAAATGCTTAGAGAACGCAGCTTCTGAGCAACAGTCATAGAAGAGAGAGATGGACGATTCAGCAAACAGGAAGCCCGGGTGATCTGGATTTGAGGACTGGACAAGGGAAAGAGAACTTAGGGTTGTTTGCTTAATTGTTCATCAGGACAATCCATGTGACGACTTGGTCACTACTTCTTATACATAATTCTTATTCGTAGCATATTGGCGGACATTTATGAGCGATGATGACGGAAATATAGTTGCATTGTCTATATTGAACAATATGACTCAGCATTTGAATGATGATTAGATCTGTCCCACCCGTTTTCCGTGTGCATCGTCGACAATGGCCTTTTCCGTATGAGTGATTCGTTTAAAGATTAGTATCGCTCGTTACTGATCCTTTTTCCGAAGTGCCAAGAGTTGAGTCTTCCCCCTAGACGCGTCGTGTTTGGACCGCTAAAATGCAATTGGGAGTCGCCCTCCACAATTACAGCTCAACTCATCGCTCACTAGCACCCACTTCCGGCCGCACTCTCCCATCTGAAATTTTCATTCCTCCAATACAAACCATGTTAGCATGTACATAAGGGTTCCTTGGCATGCGGCAAGCCATCTGGGTTATGCCAAGGTCCTAGCATCTCTCCCACCCAGGTCCTAGAATCTGCCCAGAGCGGCGCGGCCGTCCGGCGCGCTTCGTTGCGCTGGGCGCTGGGCAAAAGCCCAAGACAAGGAATATGTGAGTGGAAGAATATCGTCTCTTCTCGGGCTCAAGGAACCGAGGTGCAGATGGTGGCTGATGAGAAGGGGGAGAGCTGGTTGGCATCGGTGGATGGTTTCAATGCAGGGCTGCTCTGCCAAGGGAAACGAACCAGGGGAGGTAGGTGAGTTAGTGAGCCTGACGAGGAGGAATGATTTCACAGTGAGCGAAACTCTGCGCGAGAACGTCCTCTTCTCATCTCTTTGATCATCGCAACGGGACGGGCTTCATCACAATCAGAACCATGTCTCTCGTCTTTCTGAGGATCAAAGTCCTCCAATGAAATGGAGGGGGGGGGGGGGGGGCGAAATACGACATAATGAGTTTTTGCGATGACTCTTGGCACAACTTTGAAATGAGGGTCGAATATCCACTCTATGATGATCACTGTAGAGCTCTATTTCATCTACAGTATCTAATGCTGTGTTGGACGCCGGAGATGGAACTTCGGCACTCCAAGGTTGGATTGACTATGACCAAGGGCCCCGTAATCGTCCGACGGTCTCCCGCCGTCTTCACAGAACCCTTCAGTGCCGGGGACCATAGGCTTTGTCTTGCCATTGCATTAATGGGGTGCCATCTGACGCGAAAATACCGGGGAGGTGATGTGCAACAACCTGTGGCTCACCACCTAGACCTAGCCAATTGCGTTTTCTCGATGCGCATCTCTCACCATCCCGTCAACGAACCAAGTTCAAGTGACCCTTCTCCACCGTACATCAGCTCTAGATCTGGAAGTCTAGGACGACAACTTGGCGATCTTTCGATGAGGTCGCCGACACGGCAATGGCGAAGATGGACAAAACATCTTCCTCCTCGAGTCTTTTGCTGTCCACGAGCGGCTCGCCCATAAAGCCAACACCACGCCAGACCTCTACTGACTCAGCATAGTCTTTTGCTTTCGATGACTTGAGGATACGGAGAGATGAATTGGTCGGGTCGGGTAGAATCAGGAAGAGGTCACCAGTTTTGCTGATGGCTAGGCGGCCGCGTCGAGGACTAGGTACTGGCCCGATGGCATGTTGAGTCCATTGTCCTGCGCAAGAGTTCTTGTTAGCTGAAATTCTTGGGAACGATCATAATATATAAGAAAGGCTGTGTGTCGTCATCTTGCCATTAGGAGATCGATAGTAATGCTTCCATAGATTCTCTGCATCCATCGTGTCGCGGTTGAGAACATGCACCCCACCGTCCTGATCGACTGCCTGTGCCTCTTGATTTGTCAAACCTCGCCCCTTGGGGATATCAAAGGCAACAAGACCGGGGCAATCGGGTGTGATCGAGCCTCCATCTCTCAGCAAAGCAATGGTCTTGTCGTGCCCGTTCTTCCATGTGTAACCCCCGTCGTCGCTATAAGCATAACAGATGTTATAATTATTATCGGCGCCATTGGGTCCGGCTTGTTGCTTGTGTTTCGTATCTAGAGGATCATCCCATCCGTCATAGTGTACGAAACCGCGATACACCCATGTGATATGTAGCTTACCATCACGGTAGTCCATGCCATGAACGTATGGGTTATTCTGGATGCCTTTCAGGTGTTTTCCAGCATACTCATACAATCCTGTTGCGGCACGGTATATGTACAGGAGATCATCTCCAAGACCAGCTTTGCCATTCCTTATGGAGAAGTACATGTCGTTGCCCAAGACACCGAAACGCGGGTAGGTCACGTAGCCGAAGTTCTCATGAGGTTTCGTGATGCCAGGAACGTAATCGAGACTCAAAGTGAAGACGTCTTTGGTCCATCGGGATAGTTCTGGATCACTGGCAATGCCCTTGATGGAGCGCCGATACTTCAAGCTTGGGAATCTGTTAGCGACGGTTATCCTTTTCTTATGGTTATGCAACTAAAAGCTGTCGCATGGACTGAGAATAAGAAGCAATCCTACGTGTCACAGTGATGGTCGTAAGATAGGTGGATGGTACCATCGCCTGGACAGATGCCCATCTGCACGGTATTATGGCCATCGTCAGTGGTCTGGCGATAATCGTCGAAAATTATCGTTTGCCACTCAGAGTTGGGTAGTTTACGCCGATTCATGCAGACGAAGAGAGGTTCTCGCTGAGTGTCATCGTTTAGACTTGAGGAAGAGCAGCTACTGTAGAACACAGCATATTGCCAACCCCTGAAGGAGATGATGGCGTCCTGCTGGAACGCGTTCCCGTTGAGAACGCATTTGCGGTGAGCCGGATCCCGGCCCAATACAGTGACCACAGGGGTTTGAAGACGATGCACCTCGATGAGTGACATACCGGCTCGTCAGCGCAGGCAGGTCAGGGACAAGCAAAGCGGGGTGACTTGGCTCGAGCTGGATTATCTTGGCGTTGGATATGAGAGGTGGCACAGGAATGCGCGGGCTTGGTGTAGCACCATTGAGGGAACGGGAGTGAAAGGACAAACGCAGAGGCTCATGGAGTGGCTTGCATACGTTTTCAACGTCGGGTCTTGGAGGACGAAATTCTTCCGTCCCGTCTCTAGACGAGAATCGTTCGCGATGACGATACAGCGACGCGCCGACATTGAGTCGAGATTGTAGTACCAGATCAAAAGATTCCCGATAGTTCATGGACTAGGATAACTTCACAGTCCACTTGGGGAACTCTAATCATGTCTGAAGGCCACGAGGCAGCCGTGAAGGATGCACGCCCGAGTCCCATACCCCTGGCCTGCGACGGTACGGCACATTGCGGACTATTGGTTCATGGATAGCTACAGCTGCAAAAGAGGCGCCAACAGAATCAGTGCAGGGCATGACAGGCCTAACAGGGCCCGAGGACTCGGGTCCGGAACCAGACAGACATAAAGGGGAGGGATTGTTATGTGGCATCGCATGATGTTGGCCGAAGGCGACCGGAGTGGCTCACTTAGCGTGTGGTGGCTTGAACATATCTGGAATATTTACAGCTACATGTACACTTGTTGACGAATATGAAATTGAGCCAACTATCAAATACGAGAGTAAGTCAACGTACGTGCCAGAGAAAAGTTGGAAATCTTCAAAAATAGAGTGTTGACAGAATCAGACTAGAAAGATCCGGTCCTTCAGGTCAGAAACGCGGATTAAATTTTCCCTCAAATGAATGAGCTTCATGGCTTGTTGCCAAGCCTTAGGATCCAACGCCACAAAGTCGGGACGGTGTCGCGAAAGATGGGAATGGCCGTTGGAACCCCAGACTCAAATCGTGTTTGGCGGGTGGTTGGTCGAATCACGATCTCTCTTACCTTGGCTGGATTAGTCGTCAAGGTTATCAAAAAAGTGCCAGATCGAGTCTGAGCTTAGACAACAAACGAGACAGATGCCCAACAAGAGTCCAGACTGTGCCTTCGCTGAATGAAGACATCTACGGACGAGCTTAGTCTAACTATGGTCAAGCGTCAACTGAGAGGCGCGATCTACTTTGATAGAGTCTTTCTTCGTCTCATGACAAAGTCAAAATGTTGCTTGTTGACTTGCTGATGTTGTGTTCGCCCATGAGGTCAAGTCTGTCTGTGCCACTTCACTAACCTCCTCGGGCTCCTTTTGACCACCCCCGCGATCTCCAACACATCTCCACCTCTCCAACCCCATTTCTCCTAGGTACCCGCGTCCTTACTCCGCAGAATCCACCGTACGGGGATGGGTCGACAAATGGGCTACTGGTTGGAGCAGAAACCAATCCGGGACGTGGGATGAAAGTGGGAGGCGCCGGACCAAGTAGGCTCTACGGAGTACCTACTTATCAAGAGACGGCCTACATAGTACTTAACCTGTCACTGGTCGTCAGAGACTCTTTGGCCCTTGTTGTTTGTGTTCCTGTAACCCTGTATGGATACATCGTCTCATGCCCGGACTTCCCTGTCAGCGCATACGCAGTGAAGAGGAGACTAAACCAAGTCCAGCGCACTAAATGTCTGCTCCCTGGTCTACACTCTATTCGTACAGCCAGTCATGGCAGTCTAACTCTACGGCCCACGTCCTTATTTCTTTGCCTTTTTGCCTCGTCCCTCTTTCTCCACCTTCGCCAGTAGCCTAAATGCTGTGATGGGGGAGACAACCAGAGACGCATCTTCCAGCAAATCACGCGCCTTGCTCGTTGCAAGGAGCGGTCCACATTTCGGCGACGGAAACCACAACGAGAATAGCCACAATTCGGAGAGCCGTTCGTCCTAGCAAGCATACGGATACTTTATTCTTGCTCCGCTGTGCGTACGGAGTACTCTGTATCCTATCCCGGGGCACCTGGGGAAGGACGGTACTCTCCTCTGGGGCCCCAGAGAGCCACGTCTATTACTATTAAGTTTGAACTGTCGCGTTTTGTTTCTTTCATTGCTATGATGAAGAATGTCAAGGCATCTGGGAGGTAACCTGGGAGACAAGGTCATCCATCTTTTCATCTCATTACCTTTACGCCGCATTCAAGCTTCCCCATAGCTCCCTTGTCAAGTTTATGGTTTGTATACCTAGATGAACCGTGAGAACCATACTTTGAGACTACCGGCCGCGACGAGCTCAAGGTCATCACGTATCCGAAGAGTAGGTAGGATGCGCACGTAGGTGCTTCCATCTTTCACCAAAGTCTTTCTATGGCTGCGATGTTGGTCTCCCCTGGATTCGCACACTCGTAAACCCGAGCGTCGTTCCTGTCGTCCATCTGACTACGGAGTACTGTGTAGAGTGCTATCTGTTCTGCCTTTAGCCTGCCAAGCCTAGTTTCTGAGACTAGCCCAGCCATGCCATGCTTGTTGCTGCATCCCATCCGGCCACCTCGATGGTCGACCACCACCACCACCACCACCACCACAGTTACCACACACCCCCCAAGATGCTTGCCGTATCCCACTCTTTGCCGGAAGCCTCCAATTGCACGACCTGGTCGGCTGATCGCAAAACCGAATAGGTTCCCCTCTCCCAAGAGCCAAGCCGTTCCTCTGCCGCCCCCGGCGGTCCAGCACCATCGGGCTGCCCTCTCCGTCCCTTCTGAATGGCGGAAAAATCTCATGGACAATTCACCGTCCGTCTTGGTACTGGTTGAGGCTCGGTTTTCTGGGGTTTAGAAGCACAGATGGGCGGACGAACGAGCTACACTAGACAAGATAGGATTGCAGCAGGGGTTCTTTGGGTTCTGGACGGGCTGGGAGACGCACAGGATCGATTGCGACCATGGCTCTCCGAACAGTTACTCCTCACCAGCACCTCCAATCCCCTTTTCCCCAGAGTACTTTTTGCTACCTACATGTGAGATGGCAAATTGCTGACTATTCTGGGAGTGAGGGGTCCCCGGGTTTCCATCCATCTGGGGAAAAGACGAGGGTCCAGATCAGCAAAAGAGGGAAAACACCATTAGAGATTTCCGATATATCAGGGCCGGCTGCCCACACCCTCAAATCCTCGCTTTCTTCTCTTCGTCGCTTCGTCTCCTCATCCAGTCCTCAGCCCATCACCCACCCCTCATCACATCTTGAGCTGACTCACCTTGGCTCGAGATTCAACCATCACAGGGTGTCGTGCACATCGGCCACCAGTCGTTCAACTGCGATAGCAACACCAACCCCGCCAGAGCCTGGCCGTGTTGTGAAGAAACCAACCGCCCAACATGTCGGTGATGCAAAAGATTCTCAAGAAGATCGTCCACAATGAGTCCATGGAGACGGACCCCGCAGAAATCTACGGCTGGAGAGTCTTCGCGCTCGCCGCCTCCGCCTGCTTCGGCGCCATGTCATTCGGCTGGGATAGCTCCGTCATTGGTGGTGTCGTTGTCATGGAGCCCTTTAAGAAGTAAGTGACGACTTGGAGAGCATAAATCATCAAGTACCAATAAACTGACTTATCCAACCATAGCGACTACGGACTCAAGGATGCCAAGCCCGTGGAAACTGCCAACTTGACCGGTAACATTGTGTCCACTCTCCAAGCCGGATGCTTGGTCGGTGCTCTTCTCGCCTCTCCCATGACAGACAGATTCGGTCGCAAGTGGTGTCTTGTTACTGTCGCTGCCATTATCCTCGTCGGCGTTGTCCTCCAGGCTGTCTCTTCCGGTAGAATCGCCGCCATCTTCGTCGGTCGCTTCATCGCAGGTCTCGGTGTCGGCGGTGCCTCTGCCATCAACCCTCTCTACGTCTCCGAAAACGCGCCTCGTGCCATTCGCGGTCTCCTCACTGGCATGTACCAGTTATTCATCGTGACAGGAGGTATGATTGCCTTCTGGATCAACTACGGCGCCGAGGTCAACTTGACGGGAAAGACCATGTACATCTTTCCTCTCGCCATCCAGGGTCTGCCCAGTCTGCTGCTTCTCATCTGCATGCTCTTCTGCAACGAATCTCCCAGATGGCTGGCCCGCCAGGACAAGTGGGAAGAGGCCAAGAAGATTCTCGCCACTCTTCGTAACTTGCCCGAGAACCACCCTTATCTCGAAGATGAGTTCCAGGAGATTGTTGACCAGCTCCAACATGAGAGACAGCTCATTGGCAACGCCACCTTCAAGAACCTGCAAAAGGAGATGTGGACCATCAAGGGCAACCGCAACCGTGCTCTTATCTCCATCTTCCTCATGATCTGCCAGCAAATGACGGGAACCAACGCCATCAACACCTACGCCCCTATGATCTTCAAGAACCTCGGTGTCACCGGTCGCTCCACGCCTCTTCTGTCAACCGGCGTCTACGGAATCGTCAAGGTTCTTGCCTGCATCTGCTTCTTGCTCTTCATGGCCGACTCTCTTGGCCGTCGTCGCTCGCTTCTCTGGACTTCAATCGCCCAGGGCTGCTGCATGTTCTACATCGGTCTTTACGTCCGCATCTCCCCACCCATTGCCGGAGAGCCTGTGCCAGGTGCTGGCTACATGGCCCTGGTCGCCATTTTCCTGTTCGCCGCATTCTTCCAGTTTGGCTGGGGTCCGGCCTGCTGGATTTACGCCTCTGAAATCCCGGCAGCTCGCCTTCGCTCCCAGAATGTCGCTCTTGCTGCTGCTACCCAGTGGCTCTTCAACCTCATCGTCGCCCGTACTGTCCCGAACATGCTGGCTACTGTCGGTGCTCACGGCTACGGGTAAGTGGTTTCTGGTTAGACCTTCCTTCAAATTAACATTCAACTGATGTTTGTGACAGAACCTATCTCATCTTTGGAAGCTTCTGCTTCTCCATGTTCTTCTTCGTCTGGTTCTTCGTCCCCGAGACCAAGGGTATCTCCCTCGAGCACATGGATGCTCTGTTCGGTGTAACCGACTATGACTCTGACAAGAAGTTGAACCACGACAACCTGAGCGAGACCAAGGGCTCCCCCGCCGAGATTCAGGTTGAGTCTACCAACCCCGCCCACGCCCACGTCCGCAAGGAGTCGGCCTAGGCGGTTATGTTCGGAAGGAGACATGATGCTAGGATTTGTGAGGAGATGCTACAATGTCAAATGACGGAAAGGTGTAAGCGGGTTCGATCTTAGATGAGATTTAGAAAGGGGTTGAGATGCGTAGTGGGAAGTGGCCCCTAAGCACCTAGTTGCGCCATTTGATACCAATCTTTTGAGACCAAAACCACGCACGGCAAAGGTCTATGACCATAACTCAATAAAGTTTTGAATTCACCATAATGCTTACTCGCCAAGTGAAATCCCACTGTCAGGCCTTACACGCCCTAGGCTGCGAGCGATCGCCCTCGACATTCGTGAGGTACCATACAAGTCTCAGGTTCTGCCCTGCTTCCCCTTGACCAAATTCGGCCTTTACTCTAAAAGTATATAGTAGGTTCATCGCCGCGAGGAAGCACCGGCTAGGATTGCTTAAAAGCGACTGTATAGTTCGAATACCTTGACAGAACCACATGAAGCCTTGAGAAAGATAGGACTATTGAAATTACGCCTATAGAACGCTGCCCATTGTTTGCTTGCAGCCGGGTATTGCTGGGTTTACATCATGCAACGATCGCTGGTGAAATTGACCATGAAACGCCGAAACCCATCGGGGTCATCTGGATTGCCCCAAGATACCAAGTCGAACCATTCGACTCGTGCCCATAGTCCCCTATCCTTTTACCCCCGTTGCTGAGCCGCAGCATGTTGTCTGGTCTGGAAAGAGACCCCGAGTAGACGCCTAAAGTAGCTCCATGATAACATATGAACGAGAGAAACATATCAGAACACGCTCGCAAGTGTATCAAAACCAAACCTCCGTCTACTGTCCTCCTGGGGCGTCCGCTCCGTCAAAGATGATGAGTGGCCATTGGCCGACAGGAGCTGTGACAGAAGCCATATCGGCCGCTGTCGCCGCCTCAGTCACAGAAGTGGGATCCCTAGACCCGCCGCCCAGAGTCAACAGGGCATTAGCGCTGTATCTATCTTGGCTGTCTGCCATTGCCGCTGTCCAGTCGTGCCAGGTATTCCCTTGTGACGCTGATTGTCTCCAGAGGAGCTCCGCCGCAGCCGCAGAGCCGGCCGGGTCTGCAACATGCTGAGTGGCTTGGGATGCGAACGCAATCAGTGGATTGGTCTCAGCCGTGTTGTCCTCCCCGTTTGTGGGCTGCGTCGCCGCAGGCGTATACGCGTATCCATTGTTTACCTCGAAATTACTTGTCGATGCCATGGTGTTGGTGCTTGGTGGCTGCTCGGTGTAAGCTAGGGAAGGGTATGGAGTTGTCCCATTCTGATTCTCCGCGTCAGCGTAGAATGCCTTCGTAGCCGCTTCGTCGGCACTTGCAGCCAGGGCCTGCGCTGCTTGAGGCTGGGACGTAAGCTGAAATGGTGACGCCTCTGCCGTTGATGGTTCGGTCTTGATCGCTGGAGCAAGTGACGACGAGTCCTTTTGTTTTTGGTCGTGTTCAATCCAGCTGATTGTCCTTTCAATAATAACACTGATTTCGTTACTGATACGTGCGCCAGTTCCTAGATATGAGCGGTTAGTCTCAAAAGTTCCGATTGATATATCCAGAAATAGGACTTACCCAGTAACGAGACAGTCGCATTGATGATCTCCATCCAATCCTTCATCTCCTCTCGAAGGGTTGCAATCTGATTAGGCGTTGCCTCGAACCTCCGTTCCCAGTGGGCGACCAATGTGGTGAAAATGGCGGCACCGTAAACTGCCATTTGGTACCACGTGGTATCGAGAGACTTCAGCTTCACGAGGCTCTTGACAGCATTGAGCATGTGCGCAGCAGTCTCTTCGCATATGCGGGCATTCTCGAGGAGAAACTTGCGATCGGTGGTCATGGCCACGGATGGATGGCGTAGACACAATCGAAGCTCAAGGGCGTACATCTGTATGTACAGGGCATACATACGGCCTTCATGTTCATTCTGCCCTGGGTTGATTTGGAGCGATTCGGGGAGGTTTTCCTTCCAGAGACGAAGCTGCTCTTCTAGAGAGTTGACAACATCAACGTAACTCTTGGGGTCGCGCTTGACGCTGTAGATGTTGGAGTACATCTCCATGAATAATGGCAAGATCTTGAAGCCTGCCAGCCCAACGTGATACGTACAAGGCGTCGTTACCGACGGGTCGACGCCGTCTGGCGTCAGGGCCTCGTCGGCGATCGGCTCGGGAAACTCGACATCGTACTCCTCAACCGTGATAGGCATAGGCCGCCCAAGGCGCCCGTTCAGAGTGACATAGACGAGAAGGATGGTCCACCAAGTGCGCTTACGGATCTCGTTCTCAAGATTCGTCGTCTCGCCTGGTCCCTTCATGGCGCGGTGCATGTTCAGGTCGATAGCGCGGTGGAAGGCAAAGTTGGTGACCATGGAGCCGCACCCTGGCTTGGGGAAGCTACGGCTGTGAGCGCAAATCATCGCCATGGCCTGCACCGCTGCCACTGATTGCGAGGATGCCAAGTCAAACATTTTGCTCAAAGCATAGTGATAATGCTTGTTCGACAGTTCATTGAGTTGGGATCGTGTTTCCTGCTGTTCCCAGTTTCGCACGCCGTACTGGAAGTAAATGGTCGCAAAAACCATGTGTACCATGACCTGGTCAGGCACACTTGCTTCGAAGCCGGGTTCGTCGTACATACGAGTGAGCTATAGATGGTCAGAGCTGACAAACTTGAATCGACATTGGCCTACTTACGATGTTCATGAAGCTAGGCTTGTGCAGGACTGGCAGAAAAGGCCAAATCATGAGAAAGTACCATTCCGAGTAAGTGAAGGCGTCGCTCCTTGAAGGAAGCTCAATGTTGACTGTAGGATTGATGTTCATGCTGGACTGCAGAAACGATTGTAGAGACTTGTTATACAGAGGCTGCGCATCCTTGGCGTCTGGTATCGGCTCGTCAATGTCGGGGGCATCGAACGAGGTGACGTCGATTGTCGTTCCCAAAATGGACAACTGGGTGCCCTTGATTGAGCTGAGGGGTGCACTGTCAGAGCCCACGCCCAGATGATTATGGACGGGACGTGATTCGAGCGTCGATCGAGGGAATGAGCGACCACCGGCAGGTTTGTAGTTGTAGTTCTTGACCCAGACGGAACCGACCTTGGTCCAGGCATCCTTCTCGTTGGGGTCTTCGATGGCATTGCCCATGTGGTCATAGGTTGCGCCGGGAGTCGGGTAGTTTATGGCGTACGGAGACCATTGGTACGGTTTGACCTCGGTGCCGCTGTTCTCGAGCAGCTTTTCGAGTTCGCGGATGTGGTTCATCATGTCGGTCTTTTCCCTTTCGAGCTCCTGGAGGTAGCCTCTTCTTTCGGTTCGGCCAGTGACGCGATCGGTGACGAAGCAGTCGAGATTCTGGCTGATGCAATGGGAGCATCCTTCGGGGAGGGCATCGCATCGAATCTTTCTGACCTAAAGGTTATTGTCACGAGGGTTAGTACGGAGAGGCTAAAGATGCGAGCGGGAATGTGATAATGGGGCGATGCAGTATTGTGAAGAGCTCGGTACGAACTCAAGAAGAGCAGTCAAGACGCACCTTGCATCTGTCGCAGGCCTGACCTGTCCGAGTGTATGACGACAGGCGATTCTTGACAACAGAGGAGAAGTCTTCCTGGCCGCCCTTGTCGAGTCTCGGCAGCTTCACCTTGGGCGCGGGTGTGGTGGAGGCGACATCTTCAGAGGGAGTAGCTGCATCGCCAGCTTCAGCCGGTCGCTTGGGCGGGCGACCCGGCATGGTCTATTGTTTTCTCTCCCTCTTTTTCTTCTTCTCCCTCCTCTCTTTCGGTAAGAAATTGTAATTCGAAATTGGCGCAAATTGGAGCGAAGAATAAAGTGTCACTGGCGACGCGCGGGACGGGAAGAAAGTCGCGACGGGGATTGCCGTGGATGATGGAGGTTGCCGCGCTTTTAGGAGAGCTGTGCGCTGCTGAGGTGCCGGAAGGAGAGCCGGGGGGAAAGCATCCAGTGCCGGGGGGGGGGGGGATCAGTAAGGTAAGGTACCTACCTACCCGTGCTACCTAAGGGAAGGTATCCGTACCGGACGCAACTGGGGCGCGGGAGCTGATGGCAAACGCAAACGCAAACGCACTGCGGCACTGGGGGCGAGGTGCTCCCAACCTGTCGGGATGCGGGAGGGCGGCACGGCGGGCGGGTTCCAGGCCAAGCTACCCGTAATTGAACCTGTGAGGGACCTTGCCTCACTGAGCTTGAACTTACTCACTAAGAATCTGAGACGCACTTGACCCGTTCGTTCACTAAGAGCTGTACGTGCCAACTCCAAGAACGCTTGACACTTGATTAGCTTGACGCTTGACACGCGCAGTGCTCTAGATCTACTGATGAGACCTAAACTCCCAATCAGGCTGGCTGATAACGCATTCCAGTAGCTCAGACTTGAAAGTAAGAGGAGTGAGAGGTGTGGAGTCTGGACACTGGCTGAAGTGAGACTTGGTAAGATTGGAAGAGCGGTAGGTAGTGCTGAATCCTCATAAAGTTCAACAGCAAGATGTAAGTAAGTCTTTCTCGGGTCAAGGGCTTGCAATACAATGATCCAGGCACCAAGCACTCGTTGTATGTAAGGAATGAGTAAGAGCGGTATGGTTTGTGATGAGATGGGAAATAGGAGATGCCGGACTATTCGACTTTCAACGCCGAGCCCTCAGGAGATTTCTGGTGAGTGAAACAGGCAGACCAGGAAGAAAGATGCGCATCTCTCAGCATGCCAAGCCAAGCATACGAATTCAAGTTCGTTTGGGTTCAGGATTGGGTCCAACGAAAATCGAGTCGATGAGATTCGATGAGCGATGAAGTGGCGCATCGTGGCGTCGGCCGACAATGGACGGGAACGAGAGATCCCAGTGTTCCAAGGTTCTAGTGCCAGGGCCAAGGCCGCAAACTAACACTAAAATGAGTACGAATGTATTACATTTCAAAGTCTAGCCCTCAGAACTATCCGTCCAGACTCAGCCTGTCCGTTGTTGTCCTACCACCAGCTTGATACGATTGCAACCGACCCTCCTTTACGGTCGACAGACCCATGTGTTCATGGTCCCATCTGCCTGCCTCGTTGTCCCTCCCCCATGATGCCCTGCCCATGTCTCACTAGACTTTCAAGCGTAGTCTGGCTTGTCGTGACCGGGTCCTTCAAAGGGAGCCTACGAGCCTCCTTTGTGTTCTTGCTGCGAACGTAGGTATCGGCCCAAGTATCACTCAACCATGCTCAGCTTGCGGCAAGTCTTTCCTCGTCCGTGGACTAGGTACGCGGCAACGCCGCCGAGGAAAGTCATCGGAGTCAAGTAACGGTACAAGGCACGCGGGCATGGCCGGAAGATGTAACTACTACCTGTGCCGCCCCGGATTCGGGCAACGTCTGCTTTGTTCCACATGAGACGCCTTAATGAGCGAGACGCCCTACGGCAAGTCAATCCGAGATCATGGCACCGAGTCAACATTTGTTCTTCGAGTAAGTCGACTGCCGTCACTCTCTTCATGAAAGCATGCACATACAGCCCAGAGACGAAATTCCAAGCCTTGTTAGCTATTCCTCTTCGATGATGGCTTTGAATAGAACTACCAGACGTCTATGGTTATGAAAGTCTCGCCCAACCTCAGATGTCACCGTTTACATGGCGCGTACACATCGCCATCATTAACCTGCTATTGAAGGCTGAATCGCGGAGACGAGCAGCCCAACCAACATCGGAAACACGTCTTCACCTAGCCCGTGAGTGCCGCGTCACAGCAGGGCTGCCGAGGACGATGAGGTCCATGCCAGAGGTCGATGCGTCCGAAGAGTTGGGCCAACTGACATGCCTGTTGCAAACACGTCTTTGTCCATGGACGGATGACAAGTTGGGTCGAAGATGAGAATGTTGTCCAAGTGACACATTTCTGCTTCATCATATGCCAAAACTGCTCGATCCAGAACGTGTCTGGACTTCTCGCGTGGCTCACCAATGCAAAGTGACTCAGATTCCACCCCGTTCAAATCGAATGGATAGATTCGTGTCAATTGTTCAGCTCTGATTGGATCTCGAACAGATACAACTATTCGGAGCCCCTTTCGGCCGGCCTCCAAGGCACACCAGTGATAGCTGAAAAATAAAGTACCCATTGGTGCGCTTTTGCTTGGGGCCTAACAAGAACAACGAAGGCGAAATTATATACCGAGTAAGTTGATAATTTTAAGTCCAAGTTTTCCAGCAAAGTAGACCTCAACCGGGATCCGAGAATGAAAGAAGCGCAAATGCTAGACCTTAGGTGACGTACTAGGGCGGAAACTCTAACTTATAAGGCTGCTAGGACGTGGGGATTTTTACCGCATCGAATAATGAAAAGACCAACAGACTACAACTTAATATCTACAGAACAAGAGGTACCTAGCAGGGCTTCAATAAGGTTCTTAGCCTCGAGGGAGATCGTGTTAGTCTCTTACACGTGCAATGCAGCTAGTGCCGAAGCGGGGTGGGAAGATGCAATTTGACGGAGGAATGAAAAACATATCCGGGCAAGGGTTTGTTAAGGGACAACTCACTGAATGAGTGTCTCAATGAGTATCTGGTTTTGAATGAGCAAGTCATTGCATGAGTGAGAGAGGGAGAGGGAGAGAGAGTAAGTGGATGATCGGATGAGGAGGAAGGCCGTGGATCGTGAGAATGCAGTGCCCTGAATTGCAGCAAACACCTCAGCAATAGGTAGGTAGGGCAGGTGGGCCCGGCTAAGGCGCTGTCTGCCCGTAATTCTGACGTGGTCACCTCATGTCATGGCAGGGAACCCCGCCATTGCGCCGTGCCCCTCCAAGTTTATCGTGCGCTCGATAACAAACTTCAACTGAAATTCAGTCTTCCCAAGTTTTACCCCGCGATACTTTTCGACCAGACCACACTTCAGCTTCCCAAACCCGGCACTCACAGCTCCGTTCTCATCCGTCTTCCCATCTCATTCTTGACATTTTTGTGTCTCCATCTACCTTAGCAGCTAACATGTCGTCCTCCATCATTGAAACCATACCCATCGATCACGTGCCTGCCGATCACGTCGTTCACGTCGCTTTCTTCAAGGAGATCGAGAATGCTGCGTTTTTGCACCAACAGCTCCTCGACCGCAACGCAGACTTTGAGTATGCATTGATCGATGCCTCCGTGGTATGGCACACAGCCCATCTGCACTAAGCAGTAGGCGCCGGAAATGACTGCTAATCACAAACTTCAACAGGCCGTCTCCCGAACCCATATCCTGGCTGCAGCCTTCAAGGCCGTGACCGCAAAGGTTGACGGCAGCCTCAAGACCCCAAACGTCCATTCCGAACTCGTCGCGTCCCTCAGCTCTGCCAACAATGTACGGTGACTTGTCTTGCATTTCAAGAATTGGGTTTCAGGTACTTTGGGGTTCAGGCACTAACTGGCAATTAGATTGCAGAAGCCTACCGTCGCTTTGGTATCAGCCCGTCGACCAAGGACGTGATCGTCGTCAAAATCACCTCCCCGAGCGGCCCGCCCTCTGCCCAAGACGTGGATCAACATCTCAAGGATAACTTTCAGGGTACCCCGACCCCGTTTACGGACGAATCCATTGCGACATCAACAGATTGGGCCAAGGTGCGCAAGTACTATAAGTTGAACGGTCTCGCATGGCTCGACGCCATCAAGGACGAAGCGGAGCGCAGAGAACAGCTGGAGACTCTGGTTCTGGGTGCAATGGCATTACGCACGGCATAAGCTGCCAAACTACGCCGGCGCATGCGTGGAACATACAGGTCATTCACCTCTGTTCTTTGAATGGATTTGTCGTAAGTCATATAATCGTAATTGCTAGGCTTTAGTTCTCGAGGGATATCTAACCCAGTACCTAGGATCCAACTCCTCGCAGCCCGGACGATTTCGAATTCCAAAAAAGCGCGCCAGTTTAGACGGATACCCCAATACTACTCTTCATTCTCCTCACCAATTCACTGAACATCGCATTGCGTCCACTTCGTGTTCGCTGTACCGCATACCGATTTTCATGCGCTCTTCTTAAGCGATACTTCATGCATTCTCCAGTCGACCCCCAAACGAGATACTTGTACGCTTCGATGGCCTGGGACTCTGCTCTCTTCCGTTCCCGCATATTGCCCGAACCTGTCGGACAGACCAGCTCGCAGCTAACTTCGTCCGCCATGCCTTGCAATTGTGCAAAGACTACCTCAGTACAAGCTTCCCCATCGATACAAATTTTTCGAGCCCGCCTGACGGACTCAGCATTGTGGGAAGCAATGATCAAGCTGATTGATGGCATTCGGAGATCACCCTGCAAAACATTTCCCCATTGTTTCTTGAGGAGACTTTCGGCAATGCTATCGTAGCAGGCATCCGTGCCTTCTTTCGTTTCGTGGATGAGATGTCTCGGGTCGGTTCCAATGTATGCACCGCGCACAAGCTTTACGCCCAAGGTGAAGCCTTCTTCTCTTGCGACTCGAAGATGTCTTGAGAGCGTCTCTGGGGTTGACTTTAGGTACGCCTGATACGTCCCGTAGACAAGTGCTTGCCTTGGGGCGGTATTGTACTTTCGCATGTACTCCATGGTCCAATCGTCGATAACAGGCTGCAGAGAGGCCTGCTCAGCGTCGAACAAGAGGCGAACACCACGCTCGGAAGCGAGAGAGCAGACGGAGTTGATGGCGTCGGTCAGGGCGGCAGAACGTGGCAAACGTTCTGCGAGAGAATCTAGTGCTTGACGACCGGCACCAGTAAATCTGCCAGAACAGTCAGTAGGCGTGGTTTGAAGGATCAAGATGGAGAAATGAAATGAATGGTTCCTACTTGAGAGCAACAAAGTCTCCTGGTTCTGCCAGCCGTACTGTCTTCAAGGTACCTGTGGCCCAAGGAATAATCTCATTGCGAATGCACTCTTCCGCAATCTTGCCTTGGCTACAAGCACCCAATTCCTTTTTCTGAGCGTTGGTCAAGGCAACCTCCTTTGCGTATCCCAGTATGACACCCGAGAACCCAATATCTTTGAGACCCTTGATGGTTCGACCAACTTCGGCTGGAGTTTCTCCGGCGCAGAACTGTGCGTAAACTGTTTTCTTTAGGAAGAAACGCAGGAGCGGGTTCTTGTCTGGGTTGAGAAGTGGATTGGTAGCGTGTGCAAGGACGGACATTAGCCATAGCGAGGGCGGAAGAAGGATAGGCGAGGAGGATATTATTGTCGATGATGGTGTCTTACGTTCGAGTGCTAGGTGTGTAGGTGTCGTGTCTGCGTCTAAGAGCTGATTATTCAACAAAGGCCGCCTCGTAGACAGATGGATGGATCTTTCCAATGTACTCATGGGAGGGAAGCTGCCATGTTGCCGAAATCCAGCGCGCGAGGCAGACGATAGGAAGGCGGCATGCAATGGTCTTCTCCTAAGAGCAATGCTGTATTGTTGAGTAGGTGCAAACATGCCCGCGGCTCAAGGACCGCAAGGTAAACGCGCCCTTTGTAGAAGCTGAGGCTTAGGATGCCTTGGAAAATGCAATGATCAATGCGAGTTGAGGAAACAAAGCTTGGTAGCGGAGTAGGGCAGAGGGGTGGTTGCCTATTTCTAAGGTAGGCTTGATTGATGGATAGTTATTTACTTAGTGACATGGAATATCGGCGCGAGAGGTACTACAAGGTAGGTAGGTAATGTACTCGACGACCCTACACATGACATAGCCTTTATCTAGCAGTCTTTGCAAGATGCCCGAACCCACTGAAAGTCCCAAGGCCGTCTCACGGACTGTACCATAATCTCAGGTAGGCCAGTGTCAATGGCCAAGAAGATGAGGTATTGCTGTGCGCCGAGGCCGGCCAAATAGCCAACGATGGCTTTGGTGAAGTTGAACCAAGGCCCCCTTATCTCTTTTCACAGACCCATCACGTGGAGGTCTTGTGCCTCAGAGAGATAGCCGACTGTAGCCGGAAGCGGATGCGGAGCGTTTGGACGGACCCTGGCGATGATGCAGAGCAATTTGCGAAGCCTCCCATTGGCGAATGGCCTTGACCTGTGATGGCGGTGCGATTGGGTTCCATCAAGATGGTTTCGATGCGACCAGGATAATCTGCGACTCGAACATTCTAGTGATTGTGACCTTCCATCTGCAGTCAACTAGATGGCCGGCCATCTTGGTACTTGGGCAGGCGTAGGGTACTGCGGCGATGTCCTGTGGTACACTGTCTCAGTTTCGCGCGGCATAGGGTCAGCTAGGCCATATTGAATCGGGCGGCGCAATAGCATGCGGATTCCTTCTCCTTCGCAATGCAGAGGTCACGCGCCAGCTTCGGGGCTTTCTGCTTCACGCAGGCTTGGCTCGGCTCGGCGATCCTCAGCGCAACCAACAATCCGTGGTTACACAGCACCTGAAGGATGGTTTTTTTTTTTGGTTTTGCAATGAGGTCCGCTTTCCCGGTGGAGAGCCTCGAATTAACCACTCTGAGGCTGATCGGCCTTCGGTGTCTTGCCAGATCCAAACCGCCTGCGTAGAGATTCCACATAGCCAATGGAACGGCCCCGAGCAAGACCAACAGCGTCCTGTAATCCACCGTATACCAGTCCAAAGAGGAGGCCATATCTTGCTGTGCGAGCTGCCGTTGGAAGAGAGAAGCGATCTGGATTGAACAAGAACTATTAGTACGCGCATACATGCGCCTGCATGGGACGGAGTTGACCTACTCCACAGACTGAAAGTACCGGCCACGGTCAAACTGGCGGAGACGGTACTGATGAGATCGCTCTGGCCTCGATACCGGTCGATGGTGCTCTCCAAGCCAAAGGCCATGAGCGTCCAGAAACTAAGTCTGGCTCCCATGGTCAAGCCTTCCCTGAGGCCGCCGTACATGGTGTGGTAGTTCTTGCTCTTGTGGTAGAGATACCATCCGGTCGTCGTTGTTGGCATCTTGTGCGCGTGCTCAGCACGGAAGCGCAGCTGAGCTATGCGACCTCCATGGGCGAGACCCAGAGTAGTTCCGATACCAAATCCAATAAGCCCTGCGAGCGGGATTCGTGCTGGTGTCGGGATGGAGAGGCGTGCCTCGGAAGGCTTCTGGCCGAAACTGAGGCTTTCGGCCAACGTCATCTGCGGTCGTTCGGCCATGGTGGGATCGATACTGGGAGGATAATCGGTTACGAGTTGTGTTTTGTGGTTTTCATTGGCGTATTCAGGCATCTTGGAAGAGCGGACAGCTTGTGGCTGTTGGCAATTGAAGACTTTGGTGACGAAGACCGGGATGCACGGCCAATGTGCTCACCTCAGGTGCAGAAGTCCGTGATCCGTCAGCTCCTGGGAGCTTGGGCCATCTCTACACACAACACGAAGTCATGTGATTTCGCATTGGGGAAAGTGCCCCGCGGTCCCGAGCTCTGTCGGTCGCGACTTCCCCGCTGCTTACCTGACAGCTGCCACCTGAGAGAAAGTAAGGTACCTTAGCATAGTTCTTCACCCACCGACGATCCCCAACTAACATCTTGGTTTGCGACGTCCCACTGTCGCCTCCAACAATTTTCATTCAATCTCCATAAGGTAGAACAGGTACACCTCGCAAAGATGGTATGAAAATAGGTCGCTGCCTTTCCAAACCTTATCGTACTAACACTCTTGATCAGCAGATCGACGAGACCTTCTTCTCGGTACGCTTCAAGTACGGTGCCCACACCATCTTGATGTTCGTCGACGGCCAACAGCAATTCTCCGAAGTGACCACATCGCTGCTCGAGGTGCTCCGCGATCGCTTCCCCGATGGCCTTACAATCAACCACACTTCCCCCGAGACAACCGCCGTTCCTGGAGGCGACGTACAACTGGCTTATGCGCTGCCAGTCAATGCCACCGATTTGACTCAAGGATGGAAGAATATCAAGGTTTCTGACAGCGATACGCCAGTTGGCAAGGGCTTCAAAGATAATTGCATTGTCGCATTCTCGTTTGATACAGATGAGCCTGAGTTCTTGGTCGATATCCCGACCCTGGATGATGAGATGGAGGATGAAGAGGGCATGGGGTCGGACGCATGATGGATAACACTTGGGATTTCAAAAACGATACACGCATGGCGTTGGGCGATGGGGTCGCAGAATTATGAATCATGTGCGTCAAACTTGAAAGGAGTGGCCTTTCACAGACACACAACAACATCTGTCTGCACAGATGCATGTATACCAGGCAATGAAAGATACCGCCTTGGCTAATTCACACTCATAGATTGTAAAGCGAAGATCCAAAAAGTTCTAGGCATCGAAACAAGCTTGTTTTTTAGTTAGCAGGCTACCTAAGACAGTTCGTCATGACTGCCACATCTGGCCCCTAGAATTCGGGACTTATTGGTACATCACAGTCTAAAGGCTTCTTATGGCTTTGTTTAATGCAAAGAACATGTGAAATTGAACCGCAATTGGTAGGAAGATGCATTCATTGCGCATTGCATCGAGGCAAGAAACTACCTTACGATTAGGACAGTGCCTGGAACAAATGACGTCGGTGGCCTGGACCCGGCTACTTTACAGCAGGTGAAATGGTCTCCACTACGGAGTACGGGGGCACCCCAAGTGCCCAGACATAGTGCCTGGCGCCCTGGTCAGGGTTGCTGTCGCTGTAGCTAGGTATCCATTTGGACCCCTTTTCCACACATGTTCCGTCCCATGTCACCCCCAAACGCAAATTGCGACGGAAAGCTGGACGAAACAGGAGGAACTACTCCGTATTATTATTGTTGTTATTTTTTTCCCTTTCCATCTCGACTGTAATTATTCATACGACTAGACTAATCTTTTCTTTCGGCTTCATATCCCTCTTTTCACAACAAGGAGGCTCGACACCAAATCCAGCTGCAGAGTCATTGACTTCTGCTTCATGCTGCCGTCTACATGTCCCTAGTGGCCCTCCTCCGCCATGGCCTCCGCCTCCTGCTGCCGCTGGCGGTAATCTCGACCTTTTGGCTCTATCTCTATCCTGTCTTCTTGGGGTGCGCATTCCCTGTCGCTCCAACCGGCAGCGCATCGACGAGTCCGAGCCATGTTGCCGACAGCAGCGCCGCTGCTTTCCTCGAAGCCGCGCGACAACATATTCCTCTACCAATCCCCCTACGATCAAGCGAAGCTCGCCCCGCGCCTTTCCGCCTTCTCGCGCTTGGTGACCCCCAGCTCGAGGGCGACACGTCCATTCGAAAACACGATGGCCCAATCTTCCCTCACGCCAGAAGTCTATGGTCCCATGTGACCTTTGGATCGAGTCACTCGCTGCGCCAGCGCATTCGTCACTCTCTGCACGACATTGTCGATATCTTCTGGGAGGACGTCTTTGACGAGCTCGAGTCCATTCGCAAGCGGATAGACCTCTTTGGCAACGACTTTTACCTGGCACATATCTTCCGAACGGTACACTGGTGGACTCGCCCTACCCACGTTACCGTGCTCGGGGACCTCTTGGGCAGCCAGTGGATTGGCATTGAAGAGTTCCGGCGCCGCGGCCGTCGGTATTGGGATCGCGTGGTGCGAGGGGCCGAGAGGGTTCCAGACGAAGCTGCAGTGTTCCCGGCCATGGAGTATGACCTCACTGACTACCTTTCCGTCTCTGGTGAGCCCTCTGCTGTGTGGCCGCGCCGTGTCATCAACGTGGCCGGCAACCACGACATTGGTTACGCCGGCGATATCAATCAAGACCGCTTCGGCCGGTTCGAGCGCCTCTTTGGCAAGGCAAACTATGAGCTACGCTTCGAGCTCCCCATCCAAGACCCGAAACTCAACGCCACCATTGTGGACGACGAGCAAAATCCCGAGTCCGATCGCCTGGCCCCAGAGATTCGCGTCATTGTCCTGAACGACATGAACTTGGATACTCCGGCCAAAGACACGTCCCTCCAAGACGACACATATGCCTTCATCAACGCGGTCATTGAGACTTCGGCAGCGGTAGAATACAGCGGCCATTTCACCGTTGTACTCACTCACATCCCGTTGTACAAGCCTGAAGGTGTTTGCGTCGACGCGCCCTTCTTCGACTTTCATGGCGACCACGATGGTGGCGGAGTCAAGGAGCAGAACCTGCTCTCGGCTGACGCGAGCAAGGGCTTCCTCGAGGGCATCTTTGGCATGAGTGGTAACACGGAGGCGCCCGGCAACGGCAAAGGTCGCCGCGGCGTCATCTTGAACGGCCACGATCATGAGGGCTGTGACACGTACCACTACATCAACCAGACGAAACCAGATGATCGGTCATGGGAGGTCGAAACCTGGCCGACCGCAAAGAGCCGCGGCGCAGTCGGTGCAGCTGGTGCTCCGGGGCTGAGGGAGATCACGGTTAGGAGCATGATGGGCGACTTTGGCGGCAACGCAGGTCTGCTCAGCGCCTGGTTTGACGAGACTACGTGGACCTGGCAATTTGAATATGCAACTTGCGCCTTGGGCACCCAGCACTTTTGGTGGTTCGTCCACATCATCGACCTCATTGCAGTCGTAGCACTTGTTGCGTACGGCGTTTTAGTCGTGACAGCGACAAGCAGTGCCAGCGTTGCAGCACCTGCACCAGCACCAATCCCGGAGGAAAAGAAGATGGTTCAAAACGGGGAGGCCAATTCATAATAATGTTGCTCAAATACCCGGCCAGGAAAAGCCTTGTCTCATTTCTAGTATACAATCTCATTTTGTAGCATTACTCGCATCATTCTTGCAATTTCCATCCGGCATGCTGTGATATTATGTCTGACCTTTTTCGTTACGATGGCAACAGTGTCCATCCATCGCCTTTATGATGCATAAGTATAAGGACAGCGCTGTCGGTGATAGAACCTTGGGCTTGTACACCCGAGCTGTTACGGATATCTTTCATCAGTCGCGAAGGACCGAGCAGCTGCCCCTTACCCTAAGTTCCACGACACATCCCCCAAGTCAACACGTCCGGCCAGCTTCGCGGTGAGGCAATGGGTTAGGCGTTCAGCTCACACGTCCAGCTTGCGATATTAGAATAGATCAAGCTGTGTTCTCTGCCGCTTGCCAACGCTGAACCATGGGGGACGACCCTGCGCAGAGGTGCCAGATTGCGCTGCGTACCTGATCTACTGCGAGATGTCTCACCGCCATGTGGTCTCGTACAACTTCTGTGCGATTTATGATTACGTTACTACATCTGAGGGTGTGCAATGCATCCATCAATTCATTCGGGGACGTAATGTCGATACGTTCCAGACGATACCAGCTGGATTGGGTCAAGTAGCTTCGACTCCGCGAAAACGCGACCTTCTCACGTCGTACAAGTGCCATGGACGCAAGTCCGATTCTATGACAGCACTGGAAGGCTGTTTTTGTCGCACTTCTTTTGTCCAATTCCCTCGTATGCCTACCGGCCTCCCTTGCTGGACGCCGGTTGCCCTGCTTACCGGGGAGAACAAGGCGAAAGATCTCATGATGGATTCTATAAGTGTTGCCCTGTTGCTGTTTCGCCATCCATCGAGGTTATACTGGTACGACCTTTTGCACGACACTCGACAGGAATCCAGGCATGCATTCTTTGGTCATATGAGCTCACTCGGACCTTTTCGATCCCAGAATACCCAATACTGAGCCGGTCTTTCAAAAGCCGTGAAGTATCTCGGGGATATCGAGAAACACAGAAATCGTCACCAGACCAGGAAGCATTGTCACCCTGATAGCATTGTTGCTGTGCCAGCCTGTACTTCCTCGTGCAGCCTCATGCTGAGTGAACCGCAAACATTGATGCAGATGATCTTGCGGTGATACTGGTTCATGGTTTGGATATCAAAGCCTGGAAAAGAAGACAGTTTTTTTCAAGGCGTTACGGGAATATAATTCAGGGCAACGGCGAGGTTGAGGACATGAATTAAAAGCATCGACATCAGCCAACATTGCAATATAACCTCGAGTCTTCGCAACCGCAACGTTTGGCACTCTGCTCTATATTTACCGTTCAACACCACTTCTGGAAACAAGGCTTATAGACTGGTTCTCGATACCGTAACAACATGCGCTTCTTCCAAGTCACACTTTTCACCCTCTTCACGGCACACGGTCTGGCCGCGCCAACCACACAAAAGCCAGACACCAGCTCCCTCGCCGAAGCAGACCCTCTCATCGAGGCAGGAAAGACACCGCCATTCAACCCATTATGGCACTACTGTCAGTTGGCCTGCCGCTGCGACGACTTGAAAGGAAAAGACAGAGACGGGTACGTGGGATCCTAATCACTCTGCAATTTCGTACTTTTCACAAAAGAGTGTTGCGATCGAGTCATTGCCAATAGACTAATCATTGGCAGATTCTTCCAATGCATCACAAACCCCAACTGCGAGCAGTGTGCGAGAGTAGGGATGAAGAAGAACCCTCACCCAGCTTAAGCATTCTCAGCCTCACGGAAGTCTTGGTAGCTAGCTGAGTTTCGATCAATGGAGGATATTTGGAAAGCTGAATTAGGATACCGCCCACTGGAGGTACGTGATGATGGCGAATAGTAGCACGGCCTACGATGATTGATGATGAGCGACGGACAATGGGCTGGAAACCCATAGCCTTATAGTAATGAACAATAGATATCAACTACAGAATCTGGCAATGGAATGAGTCAACCCCTAGGTTATACGTTGATCTAACTGCGCCACTCGATTACAGCTTGGCTTTACATCGCACAATGGTACGCCAACTTTGATTGAGCCATTCCCTCATAGAGGTGTTCTGGCATTGTAGTAGTATACAGAGATTCGTACATATGCAGACCTACGTCGTCAAGTCTATATGCAAGTTGGGACGCCTCTTCGCCGCCCAAGCTTGCCTGATAATACAAATACAAATAGTTTTGGTAAGAAGAGAGAAGAAGTGGGTCTTTGTGGAAAGCACAAGATGTGCTGATTAGCCAAGGGATTTTGGTTGTGCGTGGCAGCCCCCTCTTTACTGCTTCTTGCTGGCGTCGTCGCCCTTAACGAACCATCCGCTGAAGGAGCCCATCATGCTCTGCATGGCTTCCTGCTGGGCCTTCTCCTGCATGGCAGCTTCCTCCTTGAGCCACTTTTCACCGTTTTCGCGAATCTCCTTCTCGAGCATCTCGTAGTTGCGCTGGCCGCGCTCACGGGCGATATCCTGGAGCATCTTACCCTGGGCGAGAGCCTCGTGGGGGTTCTGTTCACCATCGGGGGAAACCATCAAGGCCATGTTAGAGGGCTTGAGGCCGAGCATGCCACCCAGCAAGCCCATGCCTGAAGGCGCCTTCTTCTTCTTGGCTTCCACCTGCTTGTTGAACTCGGCACGTGCAATCGCCTCGCGGCGAGCAAACTCGGTAGGAATGTGCTTGCCCTCAAATGACTTGAGGACCTTGCGAACATCGCCGTACTGCATGGTGTGGATGTACTCGAGAAAGGGAATCAGGCTGACAAGCTCCTTGTCCTTGGACTCGCCCTTCCACTTGGGAAGAACAATGGCGTTCTCTGGCTGGTTCTGGACGTGCTTGTCGCTGCTGTCGATAATGATCACCTTGGACAGGTCGCGATTGAGGTAAGACAGATCCTGCATCCGGGTTAGAGGTAGTACAGAGAATGGTTGAGGGGCATTCTACGAACCTTGACGACTTCACCATCCTTGTACTTGGTCGCCTCGCGGTAGAGGGGCCACATGATGAAGCGGTAGGGGTCAAGTTTGCGAACAAGCGGCTCGCCAATGGCGAAAGGAACGCTGGTAAAGAGAACCAACTCGTAGTACTGGCTCAGGTAACGCAGGAAATAGTCAACGCCGGGGCGCTTGGCCACTCTCCAACCGTGCTCGCGCGTCCACTCGCTGTGAACGAGCATATCTTCCAAGCTGATACACAGGGTGTAGGGACGCTCAAAAGACGGATCGGGATCAGGGAGCAGCTTCTCAAAGGCAGGCTCCTGGTAGTAGTTCAAGAAGTCGCCGGTACGGGCGGTGACTCTGTTCCACCAAGCGCCGAACCCCCATCCGTTCGGTGCATCCTCGGCGTGCCGGAGCTCGTCTGCCTTGTCTTCCCAGTTTCGGCCAAGGTAGACGGCACCGGCAGCCCCGAAGCCGACGAAGGCGAGAAACATGCGGCTCGCAAACTGCTGTCTTTTCCTGTCTGTTGATGAGACGTATGCCGAGTCGGGAAGCTCTCCACGCCCGCGACCGCCGCCCTGGGCCACAGCCTCTTCTTCAGCGAGGGCAGCCAGCGCGGCCTTGTTTGTCGCACCAGACATCTCGTATGCTAGGGTGGAGGGGATTCCCTGGGTGAGGTCGGGTAGTGGGCCGGTAGGTGCGGCAGGCTCAGGAGCTTCGGTCTTATCGGCGGCATTCTCGGCGTCGGATTTGGGAGTTTGTGTTGAGGATGTCTTGGATGAAGCTTCGGCAGCCTCTTCGTACGCTGCTTTGTATTCGGGACTTGACGACGCCGAGGTCTCCTCTTGCGTCGATTCAGAAGACTTTTGCTGATCAATCGGCTTATCTGAAGGGGAGCCTTTCGGCTTATTGTCCTGAGCAAAACCCCTAGTCCATGATGAAGCTAGGAACTCGGGTCCCCTCGCAGCTGGTGTTGCGACAGAGCGGTAGAGCTGCGCTGCAGTGGGCTGCAGACGCGCGATGCGAGCTGCCCTTGACAGCATGGCGTTTCAAGGGCCAATGTGGACGTGACGAGGTATTGATGGCTTCGAAGCTGGACCGTTGTCTTGATCTTAAAGTTGATAGATGATGGGGACGTACGTGTTGCGCCAGCGGACGGGAAAAGATGCTGGTGCAAGCGTGTGAGGTCGAGGTGGAGTGGGTTTGGCGATATTCCTGACGAAGGCACTAGAAATTTTCGATGAGGAAGCACACTGTCCGGACCACCTTGGAACTTTCTGACCAGGGGAACGAATGACAGCTCGTTGGGTGCACGGTGCCTTGAGAAGCTTGGGACCTGGAACTTCACTGTGAAGTGGCTGTTCTGTAGAACCTGGAAGGTGCCCCAGGGAGCTGGTGCCACTGTGGCCAGGGTGAGAAGGAAACTGCAAAAAAGCGTTGATCCACCAAGGTAACGACTGGGTGCCGAGTATTCTCCGGCTATCTCCATCGGCGATAACTGTACGCTTAGGTAAGGCACTGCACGGATAAGGAACCTCGAATGAGGTCATTCTCGATGTAGATGTTGTCCCACCTTTAGTTCTCCCCAGCAATGATTGGTTATAGCTCTCATCTGCTTAGTAACTAGGGTGCACGTCCTCTGGGAAGGGGCTCACGTGCGAACCTTGTCCGAATGGTGGACGCGCGACTGATGGATGTCCTTCGTCCCCTCCGGCAGTGACCTTCATGCATGAGCTGCATCCACCACCGCCCACCGAGTGTCCGTCCATCCTGAGTGCTGCCCCCCCTCATAACTGCGCCATACCCCCAGTGCTTCCATCCGCAACTCTTTCCACTTCGCATTTCCCACCTGTTGCACCCCTCAAAGAATACCCTCGAACCTCACCTAACCTGGCCGAATCCCTCAGATACAGACACATCAACACAAGCCGTCCAAATCAACCTAGCACCGTCACAATTCCCTCTATCGTCACCATGGCCGTCGCGCGTGGTGAATTCTAGAGGGTGGTCCCCAAGTTCGCATCAACGATCACAATGGGACCACCCTCTGTGATTCACTACGCTCTGCGAGACTGTCTGTCGACCTGCAACAACCTCACCAATCAAACAAACTAAACACAAAGCTGTTGAAATCTCTGCACATAACCACTAGATACCATTCATTGAGGGAAAAATCGCCCCGCCACCCCGCCACTCCCGACGCTCCTACCCACCAACACTGTTGGCGCATTACCAAAGCCTCAACATCTTGAGTATACATTGAATACCTGGAAAGGATTCAACAACCCAAGTTACCGTAGCATCACGCATATCAAACCGAGCCACTGACCGCAACAATGGTTCGCCGCGGCAAGATATCGAGAGCCGCCGGCTCATCACTCGACCCGACACCGATTGCATCTACTCTTACCACACCACTAAGCTCCGCCTACCCGTCGACGTATGCCTCCGAAGTTGAAATAGATGCACTCGGAGACAGCATCGGCTCTCTCACTCTGAGCGAGAGAAGAGCAGCCAGGAGGAAGGCTAAGCCTTTTGCGTTCATGGCTTTGCCATCAGAACTTCGCCTCAAGATTTACGACTATTATTTTGAAGGAAGTGGTAGCGTCGTGGACCTCGACCCGGACAACTACAAGACCTACCACAAAAAGCTCGGAATCCAAAGAACTTGCCGCACTGTCTATCAGGAAGTCTCTCACTACTTCTACAGCAGCCGCCCGTTCCGCATTTTCCCAACACACCCGGGCAAGTACTTCAAAAGTAAGAAGCCGCTCTTGGCTCGTATGAAGCCAAGCTCAAGATCGTACATTACATCCTTGGAGCTTCGCCTTGGTCCCGGATGGAGTAAACCGCCGCGAGGATGGGTGGTGACGCCAGCTCTGGGCCTCCACGAGTGCGTCAACGTCCGTCGCTTGACGGTGCTGGTCGAATGCGATCCCAGCGACGGCATCTTTAACGGTTTTCGCCGGTCGGATGGCTTTTATGAAGGTTTCAGCCAGTCTCTCCTGACGGAAATATTCAACCAGATGCCCTGGATCGACACCGTCTATTTCGACGCCTGGCCTGGTGTGAAGAAGTCGGGGGGAATGATGCGGGCCCTTCTGGAGGTGACATCGGCGAACAACCGGAAGATCAGATGGGGCCCTGAGAGAGGATGGACTGATGGACCCGAAGGCGACGAGGTTAAGCCGACCAACTCCTTGGTTCTGGTGCCTCCGGCGTCCGAGTTCAGCACGTCTAATATGGGCGTCCTGGTCATGGCTTGAATGGTGACTATTGAAATTGAACGGCGTGGACTATCAACTTTCCTTTGACTTTGGGCAAGCTCGCGAACGATACTGAGCTCTTTTCTTACGGGACTGGATGGCACGGACATGAAGGCGGGCATGGAATTTTCGGTTGAGCAATGTGCTGCTCCAGGTAACCGACACCATCATCCCTCCTGCAACGAGATTGTAATATTAGCATAACGAGGAATGAGAACGAATACACCGGTCACCAGCATTACCAAGGTTCAAACCTAGATGATCAATCCCATGACCGCAGTGAGTGAGATTTGAATGTGCTTATCATCAAATGTGAATAACAACGAAGGATTTCGGGGCGCAGTAATTGCATGCCACCACCCGCATCAAATCGCTCTTCAAAGGTCTACGCGAAGTCATGCAGTGTACCTCCAGCGCGAGAAGAAAAGATGGCATTGACTCTGGCTACCCCGCGTTTTCAATTCCTACCAGTCACAGTCAGCCGTGCGATGTAAAGGTGGCAGCTGGCCGTTGGCGAATTTACTTGCAACATC